AAATCAATCCTGCCTCGAAACAGTAACAATTTGGGCCAAGCATATTGTCCCATTCCTGTTTCTCAGTTCCTCAGGTACCTGAGGCAGGAGAATCACTTGAGTGCAGGGCAAGGTCTCATCTCTTAAAATAAAAACAGAGAATGCTGCCAGGCAGTGGTGGTGCACACCTTTAATCCCAGTACTTAGGAGGCAGAGGCAGAGGCAGAGGCAGAGGCAGGTGGATCTCTGTGAGTTCCACACCAGCCTGGTCTACAAAGCTCTGAAGCTACAAAGAGAAACTCTGTCTGGGAAAACAAAATATGGAGAATGCCATATGGGGTATGGATGGGGTGGGGGGGAGGGAGAGTCAATTGAGCCGGGTACCACACAGCCTGCTAGGAGGCCAAATCACACTGCATCCTTACAAATACCTGAGCGCAGGTACATTGTCCTGCTCGCCCTCCACACCAGGAAACTCAGGCCCAAAGAGGAAGAGTGACGGTCCACAGACACAGAGTCCACGTTGGAAGTCAGGGTTGTCTGGCTCCGAACTCTTTCCCCTGCCACTCTTCCTGTGTATAACGGCTGAGGCTGACCCAGGGCCTCGTCTGGGCTGGCCCTGGGAGGGTGGGGGCTGTGGGCAGACCCAAGGCTCCACTCCTAGAAGAATTGCTGGAAACGTCTTTCTATAAGTGGCTCCTGGTACTCAGGGCCTCTTCACCAAAATCCCCCTTTCCCGACACCAACCACTGGGCTAACAATGGCATCTAAGGGATAGCTGATACAAAAATAGCAATTCAGGGAGAGAATAGGGCAGGCCCATGCTGTTGGGCCCGGGGGCAAGGAGCTGGCACATATGTCATCCTGGCTGGGCCTCAAGATACCCAGGAGCCCATCCTGGAAGTGGGCAGCTGAGGGCTGGCCGGCCCTTCCTTTACCTCTCAGGGGATGATAGAGGGAAATGAGCATGCGTGCAAATGACGGCCATGGTGAGTCAGGGTGGAGGGAAGGGATGTGTTTACTGTGGAAGCCCTGGCGAGTTTTCTGGTAACTGGTAGTCACCAGCTGGGTCTGGGAGCACAGAGTCCCTGGGAGCTCCGCCTTTCAGCCTTCCCGTGTCCCGCAGCGTCCACTGCGACCCTGGCTGGTGACTGCCCTGCCCTGGGCCTCAGTTTCTCTTAGCACCACTCCTCCCTGTACGGAAGGTCCTGGTGACAGCAGACTGACGGGTTTGCCTTATGAATTCTGGTAGAATTGCTGAGACTTGTCACAAGCGTCCGAAAACCTCAGCCTCTTGACCCCTGGTTCCCTGAAACATGACCATGCTCTGACCTCTGCTTCCTTTTCCTCACTTCCTCTATCCAGAACCCCACTTTTTTTTTTAAGATTTATTTATGTATTATGTATACAGTGTTCTAGCATGCATGCCAGAAGAGGGCACCAGATCTCATTACAGATGGTTGTGAGACACCATGTGGTTGCTGGGAATTGAACTCAGTACCTCTGGAAGAGCAGTCAGTGCTCTTAACCTCTGAGCCATCTCTCCAGCCCCCCAGAACCCCTCTTGATCTTAGCTTCCAGCCCTTTCCTGCTCCCATTTCACAGATGAGAAAAGGGAGGCACTGAGGGATAGGAGCCATGGTCAAGCAGCTGCAGGGTGGATGCCCCGGAGACCTTTCTCCTGCTCACAGTTGCAGCTGCTGCAGCCCACGAGCATCCTCCAGGAAGGCATAGATAGCGTCACCTCCTTGTCTGCGCACGTCTCTTGGTCTAGCCTGTCCGACTATTGAGCTCACCTGTTTTGTTATATGCGTGTCTTGAAGTCTCCCGGAGGGGCATGGGTGGAGCTGGCGGCAGTCTGGGTTAGGGGGAGACAGAAAAGGATGCACTCTTGGGTTGCTGCTGGGTGGTCAAGGGCTGTGGGCTCAAACATAGGCTGATGTGCCCTAGGCTATTGACCCCGCAGTCTCTCCGAGTGGTTTCCCCCCTACAGCCTCTATTTCCACATCCGTAAGCTGGGAGAATACAGAGTGTAGCATGAATTCAGTTGGACCGCGTCACGCAGTTACAGGCACGCAGTTACTTTACTGAGGTGAAATCCACTGATTTCGAAGTGTGTGGTCCAGCCGAAATGACAAGTTTCGGGTTCTGTGAGAGAGCCTGTCTCAAAAGAAAACAGACACAACTGTGAACCCATCCTGTGCTGTTTGAGCTCCCAGGACATCGCAAGCAGGTCAATCAGGGCAAGCAGGGCAAGCAGGCCGGACCCAACACCAGGGTGGGTCAGGTGCTTTCCTCCAGTAAATGCCTCTTGTTCTTCCTTTCTTTCTGCTTATGTATGTACGGGAGGCCGAGGTGAGCAGATCTCTATGAGTTCAAGGCCATCCTAGTCTACTGTCCATACCAGCCAGGGCTACCCAGTGAGACCCTGTTTCAAAAAAAAAAGTGTGAGCCAGGGTGGTGGTGGGGAATACTTTTAATCCCAGTACTCAGGAGGCAGAGGCAGGCAGATCTCTGTGAGTTCGAGGCCAGCCTGGTCTACAAGAGAGTGCCAGGATAGGCTCCAAAGCTACAGAGAAACCCTGTCTCAAAAAAGTAAATAAATAAATAAAGAGAGAATAATAACTTAGAGGCTCTCAAGATGGCTCAGTGGATAAAGGCACTTGCCACCAAGCCTGATAACCCTCGGTCCCACACAGTGGAAGGAGAAAATAGACTCCTCAAAGGTGTCCTCTGATCTCTACATGTGCATACACATACACAAGCACACACACATAAAGTTTTAAAAAATTAAATAATCAAAGAGAAAAAAATAATCTAGTACCAAAAGAAAAAAAAAGAAAAAAGAAAGCCAGGCGTTGGTACACATGCCTTTAACCCCAGCACTCGGGAGACAGAAGCAGGCAGATCTCTGTGAGTTCGAGACCAGCCTGGTCTACAGAGTGAGTTCCAGGACAGCCTCCAAAACAATACAGAGAAACCCTGTCTCGAAAAACCAAAAAAAAAAAAAAAAAAGATAATCTAGTGCTGGGGAGATGGTTCGGGGCTGCAGAAGCATGACAGCCTATGTGTGGACTGCTAGTACCTTCCAACAGCTAGAGGTGGCTATATTCCCAGTAACCCCAGTGCTGGGGGACAGCTGAGTCTCCAGGACCTGCTGGTCAACCAGTCCAAGCAAAATTGCAAGTGCCAAGAGAGACCCTGCCTCAAAAACTAAAGTGGAAAATGGCAGAGAAATATACCCCAAATCCAACTCTGGCCTCTACATGTGCATACACAGACAAGTGAGTCCATGATACGCACACAGACCACACACACTAATAAGAATTTAAATGAGGCTGGAGAGATAGCTCAGTAGTCAAGAGCACTAGTTGCTCTTCCAGAGGACCCAGGTTCGATCCCCAGGTCGTGACTGCCTGTAACTCCAGTTCCAAGGAATCTAACGCCCTCTTCTGGCCTCCACAGCACCAGGCACGCACTTGATCCAAGGACATACAGACAGGCAAAACAAGCATGCACATGAGATAAACTAATAATGACTTTTTGAAAATAATTAAAATAAGAATAATAACCTAACGAGAACACCAACATGGCAAAAGCCCGTCGTTGCGTACTGGAAACAAAGTGATGTTATTTGCTCTTTTCCTCTTGTTGTTTTAAAGAGTAAGCTTGAACACAGTGATTAACGGTCATTACCGACTAGCGGAAAGATTTCTGAGCAGATTTTTCCAGGGGCTGAAACGCTCGTCTCTGGCTTTGTGACATCAGTCGGGAAACAACAGGGAGATGATTAGAAACCAGACCCTGAAACTTTCCACTGATGAACTTTCTGGTGAAGGAGACTCTGGAATCAGCTGTCTCGCTGCGTGCTGCTGGCAGGAACTGCCAGAGACTGTCTGGAAAGATTTCCATTGTCTTTGTTCTCCAAGAGACACTGTGCAGCTTCCACGGCACTGAGCTGGGCCCTCGCCTGTTCATTTCCCCGCCGCCACCCCATCCCACGATGCAGAAAGCACTTTGGGTAGTTCTGAACTGGCCATCTTTTCTTCCTTCCTACTCTTCTTGGCAGAGAGCTGTTACATTCCCAGCCTCCTGTGCAATCATGGCCAAGCGGCCTCACCTCTCTGTGACTCGGTTTCCTAATTTGTGAATTTTAAATGGCCCCTGCCCCTTAGGTTGTTCACGTGGGCTCATGAATAAATGTAGGTAGAACCAGGACCTGCGCGTGTGGTATGCCACTGAAGCATATCGCCAGCTCTAAGAGCAACTGGGAGTGCCCCAAGGTGAGCGGACATCAGAGTGGCCTCCCAGGGACAACCAGAGAAGAGGCAGATGCTGAGAGGAGTCACAGCTCCCATGCATAGAATGCCCTTTCGAGGCTCATGGGCCTGGTTTACAGCAGGTGCTCAACAGAGGTCATCCCGAGTGCATAGGATGGCATGTGCCTGAAATTCCAGCTCTTGGGACACCGAGCTAGGTAGGAAGGATAAAGAGCTGGAGGCCAGCCTGGGCACAGAGCAAGAGCCTATCGGGAGGAGGAGCTAGACGGGGAAAGTAAGGGCCGGTCTTGCAGTTCTGACTGTTGGATGACGCTAAGAATCATCTTAATGGGTTTTTCCTCTTCTTTGGCTGGTTGGGACCAATCTCATTTGTTCACTTCGTTTGCCTTCTTTCTTTTTAATTGTCCATTTCTTTGTTTAATTTGTACGTATTCATTCGTCGTGTCTACATGGACTTCTACACCACACTGGCGTAGAGGTCAGTGGATGACTTGCAGGTCTATCCTTCCACCATGTGGGCCCTGGGGACTGAACTCAGGTCGACAGGCTCGGTGGCCGTGCTCACTGAACCATCTTGCCAGCTTCACGTTTTCCAGGCATGTGAGAGGTCAGGTGCACACAGGTAACCGCTGAGTCAAGCCAAGTAAGGCCTGCGGAATGACCGTCAGCCATACGTCAATCACCCCTGACATGGCCCCTGCAAATCTGACTGATATATCTGTGTCTCTGACTCCTCCCCAGATGTCAATGCTGGAGCTGACTCTTCAGGCATCCAAGCAAAACGGCGCTGGGACCCGAGAGGTGGTTCTGGTCCTTGTTTCCAACACAAGTGTCCTCATCAAGCTCCAGGCCCCGGAAATCCCATGGCAGCTGGCTTACGTGAGTGTGTGACCCTTAACCCCAGGCCAGCTGTGGGAAGCCCCTGCCCCATGTCCCTCTCTCTGTGAGCCAGAGCCTGATGTTCAGATGGCCATGATTCAAGGTGGCCATGCCTTGAATTCCACAGCCCTGATGTAGGACACCCAGGGCTGAATGGGACCTGGAACAAGAGTCTGGACTAGGAGGTGGATGGATGCGGTAGTTCAGAGCACTATAAAGGTGGGGGACAAGGGGGACGGGGGCGGGGGTGGGGGGACGGGACACACAGAACCAGATGTAGGCCCAGAGGGAGGAGGCAGAGATGGGCAGTAGAGATGAAGACACAATCATAGATGGACATAGACCAGCATGGTGGGAACTGTGCTTGAATCTCCTGTGTGCCGAAGTCTGCCTGGTGTCAGACCACAAGCCAGGAGACGGACAAACGCCACGCTCTTGAGTCACTACTGCATCCCTGGCTTTCCTGAGGTGAACGCCTGCAGAGCGGGCCATGTGCTCTATCAAACCTCCTCTGGCTATCAGGCAGGCAGACAGTATCTAACCTGAAGCCCTTCTGCTGCTGTGACTCACGCTCAAAGGCACTTGGAGTCAGTGGCCCTGCTTCCTCTAAACCCTTGTCACCCCTGGATCACCTCCAGGAAGTCTTCATTTCCTTTCTTAGCCCACCAGAGCCCAGGGGAGCCTAAGGGAGGCAGTGAGGTCACGGATCCACCCAGATCCCCCGTCTCCAGCCGGCCAGAGGACTGGTCTTGGTTCTCGTTTCTTTTTACATTTTATCTTATTTTATGTGTCTGGGTATTTTGTGTGCATGTGTGTCTGTGCACCACACACATTTCTTTGCGCCTGCAGAGGCCAGGGACATGTTGAATTACCTAGGACTGAAGTTACAGACAGTTGTGAGCCACCATGTGGGTGCTGGGAATTGAACCTGGGTCTTGTGGAAGAGCAGTCAGGGCTCTTAACCACTGAACCACATCTCCAGACCCTCCTCTTTTTTGTCGTTGTTGCTACTACTTATTAAATAAGATCTTCTGCCTTCTATTACTTCAAATAAAGATGTCAATCTAGTTTCTGAATGGTGAGGTTCCCAGGGCAGGTGCCAACCCATCTGTCTGTCACCCACTCACTATTTTCCATGCCTGTCTTCGCCTTCCCTTCCGTCCCCCTCTTCCTCACGCATTGAGAGCGCCCACCATGCGGCGGGTGTCAAGGAGCAGCTAGTACAGCAGGGTCCCCAGCGAACAAAGACTCAGTGCCTGCAAGGTGTCCGGTGCTGTGTGGGGACGGGTGCTGAGATTCCCCTCACAGACCCTCAGAGAGTGGAGGGTCAGGGACGCAGCTGCGTGACGCCGTTACACGTGAGTGCCTGGCGGTGAGGGTGAAACCCAGGCCGATGAACAAAAAAAGCGTGTCTCCGTGCAGTTCTTGTGAGCAGAGGGGAGACGGGGCAGATATGACTGCCAGCAGAGGTACCTGGGGACCTCTGGGGTGGCTGATGCCCTCTGAGCCTTGTCATTCTTGGTTCTCACCTTTTCTCTGCCAGCTGACTGAGCTGACTCCCCAAGCTGGTTCCTGACCTGCCTGTGCGGTCAGAAGGGACTCAGCACTCTGTGTCTCCACAGGACAGAAAAATGATCACCTTTACAGAGAAGCTGGAAGTCAGCACCACAGAGCTGCCATCCCCCACCTCCAGGAAGCAGGCCCTTGACTGGGCAGTCGAAAAGAGTGCCATCACCTCAATGGCAACACTGCTTGACCCCAAAAACGTCGTCCTCCGAGTGGGCCAAGGTTAGCTTCCTTAGTCGCCTCTGGGCTCAGGTTCAATTGCAGAGGAAACTCTTTAACACAGTCAAATTGTATATAACAGAACAGTTATCAAATAAGAACATAGTTACAATATTTTAGCAAGATTTAAAGAAAATATCATCCATCCCATCCTTGTGAGTCCAAAGTCCTATATGTAGCTTATCTTTTATCATAACTAAGGAAAACTATAATTATAACTATCTGTCTTCAACTCCATCAAAGACCACAGAAGGATAATATATAAACACTAGGATTGACAGAGACATCTTACTGCCTGGACAGTCACCCAAAGTTCCTCTGTAACGTTGGGGCATCCATCTTCAGCCCATAGGCCACAATGTGTCTGGAACACTTCTCAGCAAAGCAGGAAATTTCAAACTGTCCATCTGCGTTGGCAGTCTGTCAGTCATTTTTCTTTGTCCTGCAGCAAGTCTCGTAGACTCTTCATCAAGCAGGAACCCTGTAAGACTGAGTTCAGTAGTCACTTTCCTGTGGGTCCTGCATGTCCAGATGATACAACAACAGTCAAACAATCTAGGCAAGAGCAGTTTCTTGCCCAAATGGCTAATCTTGCCATGTTGAAAGCAAACTTTATAACGAGTTTCTTCGATGCCCATCTTCCTCTCAGACGTAATTGGTGCTGCCAGGAGCAGACATTTCTCATTGTCAAGACAAACCCTAAACCATTTTAAATGCCCTGTTCTGAAGGTCTTTGAGAGGTTTGAAGACTGTCCATCTCAAATATATTTCTGTATATCTAGAAACCTAACTTATGTAACTAGAAATTCTATTATAAGTAACTATCTATAGTCTGTATTCAATTATGCATTACATTGTAAAAGATCAGTATAAGCACAATACTTAATCAAGAGGAGAAATATAAGCATCACAAAATTGACCTTGATTTTGTCTCAATAAATGAAAAACAATACCCATACCATAATTCCCCTTTTTACCATTAAAAAAGATTGGCTGTGATCACTAGCCAATTATAAACAATCCCATTTAAATGAAAACAAAGATTTATAAACAAGATGGGAATTGGGACGTCGCTCATTCCAAACTGCTTCCTGCTGGAAGGGGGCGCTGTTTATACCATGGGGATCATGACAAAACTCAGAAACCTGTATAAGTCCATATTTTCGGGGTCTGTAAGACTGCATCATCTTCGCTGTTTCGATTGTTGGAACACCTGGTCCACTGCTTCCAGGGGTCTTGGTTCGTCAAACCACAAAAGCCTGGAAGGAATCCTTAGCTTTTCATTTTCTGTAGAAACATAAATAAAAACTCCTTTTCCGAGTAACATATCCTTATGCTTAAATTTTGAAGTCAAGGTATTTTCAAAAGATATAAGTTGTATTAATTTAGCAGCATTTATAATCAAGTGTACTTTAGTAGCAGTTCCTTCCTGAGCAAGCAAAAAACTGAAAAACACAATAGCGTACAGTATCCAGACTCTCTGTGTATTTTCCATCTTTACGTGGCTTATTTATTTATCTATTATTACTTTATTTATTTTACTTTTATTTATTTTTCTCTGAGACAGGGTTTCTCTTTGGAAACCTGCCTGCCTCTGCCTCTGGAGCAATCCTACCGGCGTGTGCCACCACAACGCCGGCTTTTGTATTTATTTACCACTTTGTCGTTTCAGTTTCTCTCTCAATCTCACATATATTTTTAAACACACTGTAAACCTTTAGAAGTTTTTCTTTATCCAAGTCTGACTTTACTGTAAATCTTTATGTTTTTCTGGCCACGTGTCTTATCTGTAAAATCGCGGCTGTTTTAAACTGCCATTTCAAGATGGCGGGCGTAAGCGTGACTCCAGCTTACCACCTCAGTCCATGCTGACCTCCAGCAAAAGCTGCCACTTCCAGCTGTACGTACACCCCTTTCAATCGGTAGCAGAGTCTCTTAAAACAACCTTGATGGTTTTTTTGTTGTTTTTTTTTTTTATGCTGAGTCAGGAAGACTCTGGTAAACGAGCCACGTGAATCTCAGCTTGTCGATAGCAAAACAGAGCACACCTGAGAAAAATGCTGCTACCAATAATCTGTGCTTCTCTCTGTTCTTCTGTTTCTAAAATTCCTTTAAAGCTTTTGTCATTCTGCGTGGAAATTCAATCCCACTTCTGACACCATTCTGTTAAGAGATGCTTTTTCCTTTTGCTAGCCACTTTGGTTTATCCCCCGCCAGTCACCTGGGCTCTGCCGCGCTAGCCTGGTTCTAGATCCACATGAGTCCCAAATAAACACACAGGAGGCTATATTCATTATGAAGCTGTTGGCCTTGCTTGTTTCTAACTGGCTAGCTCTGACTTAAGTAATTACCCCATAATTGTTAATCTAAGTATGTCTCTTACCGGAGAATAGTTCCAGGCTTCCTACCCCAATGGCGGTTACATCTCGAACCCCTCGTGTTACTCCTACCCAGAGTCCTCCTGGACTCCTAGCCCCACCTATCTAGATTCCTATTGGCCAGACAGTGCTTTATTAGCATAAGACTTCCCCAACAGAAACTGAGAGTCTCTGGCCCGTGGTGGCACATGGTTTGCCCAAAGTCACACATGGCTGGATGGTACCTTTTGCAGCTAGTGACTGCGTCTTCATCAAGTATGAAATGAGAAATGCTGGATTTTCTTCCCAACACAAGGGGCTAGAGATGAGGCTCGGTTAGTAGAGTTGCTGGTGTGGCATTAAGTCCCATATGCATCTCCAGAGATGACAGACTGAACATGGTGGCACAGATAGATCTGAAATCCCAACACTCCGGTGGTGGAGACAGGAGAATAAGGAATTCAAGGTCATCCCATGTGACACAGCAAGTTCAAGGCTAGCCTGGGCTACGTGAGACCATGTCTTTAAAGGAGAGGGCTCAGTGTGTAGTGACTGCCACATAAGCATGAGCACCTAAATCGGGGCCTGCCACCCCATGTGTAAAACTGTCATGGTGATATACACATCTAACCCCAAAACTGATATATACTTGTAACCCCAGAACTGGGGAGGCAGAGACAGGATGATCCCTGGGGCTTGCTGGCCAGCCAGTCTAGGCAAACAGTGAGCTCCAGTGAGAAAAATATGGAGAACGATTAAGGAAGATACCGGATGTGCTGATGTGCCAGGTAGGGGGGAGGGGATGACACCCTTGACGTGTGCCGTAGGCTCAATTGTAGGTTAGTCCTGTGTTAAGGCCGGGCACTTAGCAGGTAAGTCCTCTGTAGTCCCCCCACCTGTGAGGCCCTGTCCTGGATGTCCCCACAGCTGCCTCTGGCTGAAGGAGGGGTATGGCTCTCTGATACATACGCTTGTCTCCACAGCCCTAAAGGCACCGCCCTACTGCTTGGCAGAGGCCCATCAGGACATGGGTCCCACACTGGAATGGCAACCTCAAGCTCCCACCCCAGTCCAAGGCTGCTCCTTGGAAGGTGTGACTGGCCACAAGGAGGCATACATCGTGAGGATCCTGCCAGGTTCTGGAGCCAGGTAAGGGTGCTGGCCTCCTGGTGCGGGGCCCCTTCCAATCAATCAGATCTCACCCTCCCGGAGCAGCAGTGATTTTTCTACTGCTGTGATAGAACACCATGATCAAGGCAGTGTGCAGAGAGTTTACTTGGGCTTACGGTTCCGGAGGGTCAGAGTCCACGGTGGCAGAATGGAGGTCTCAGGAAACTGAGACCACAAACAGGAGGCAGAGGGCACACAAAGCCCACCCCAGTGTCCTATGCTCTCCAGCAAGGCCCACCTCCTACACCTTCCAAAACAGGGTCGCCGACCGGGAACCAAGTGTTCAAACACCAGAGATTTTACACGTGACGTCCCACTCAAACCAACACGCCAGCTCGGTCCCCACACTCAAGCCTGCCCTCTGTCATCTGTACTGACCACTTCCTTACCTGCTGCAGGCCCCGGACAGTGTCTGTAAAGGTGGAACTGAGTTGTGAATCCGGGGATCCCGACGCCGTTCTCATCCTGCAGGGTCCTCCATACGTGTCCTGGTTCATCAATGCCAACCACAACATGCAGTTATGGGTGAGCCTTGCAACCGCCACCACAGCCTGAGACCTTGCGCACTGTGGTCTTTCCACCTCAACTTGGTTTTCGTTTTTTGTTTGTTTGTTTGTTTTTGGTTTGGTTTCGGTTTTTCGAGACAAGGTTTCTCTGTGTAGCCTGGTCTGCCTTGGAACTCGCTCTGTAGACCAGGCTGGCCTTGAACTCATAGAGATCCGCCTGCCTCTGCCTCCCAAGTGCTGGGATTAAGGGCGTGCGCCACCATCGCTGGCCCACCCCGACTTCCTATCTCTGTCTAAGACCTGTTTTCCTTACATTGTTAATTTAGAGGCCCCCATCCTCTAGGAAGCTTTTCTTAATGGGCCAAGGGAAAAAAGGAGATGAGGGGGATGGGTGGCCAGGCAGGGGGACAGAGGAGTCACCAGCTACACTTTCCTGCCTTCAGACCACAGGCGAATACTCCATCAAGATCTTTCCAGAAAAGAGCATCAAAGGGTTCGTGCTTCCAGACACGCCCCAAGGCCTGGTAGGGGAGGCCCGCAAGCTCAACGCCAGCATCATAGCATCCTTTGTAGAGCTGCCCGTGGCCAGCGACGTCTCACTGAGGGCCTCTGGCTGCGGTGAGCCCCAGCCCTGTGACCCTGCCCTCCCTCCCCCCAGATGACTTGCCACACTGTTCTTTGAACTTGTGCCGGCTTCTCAACCTCACTGGCCTCATCCGCCACCTAATGAGTAGTTAGCCATCCAAGAACTCAGCCCATAGCGAGCGCTCGGTGACTGTCCCCTCTGCCCATCTCTGGCCCCACAGGTGGTGTGCCACAGACTTCACCTGCGCCAGTTCTGACCACACCTCCCAAGGACAGGTGCAACTCTGGTCTACTCATGTCCCTGATCCAGCCAAAGTGTGGCCAAGACATCATGACTCTGGAACTCAGTAAAAAACATGTGCAGGTAAGTGAATCCCTGCCCCTCCTTCGCAGGATGACATGGGCAACTAATTGGTCCCTAGCCAAGAATTCGGGGGCCTAGCCTAGGCAGTAGGGCAAGTGACATCCCTCCCCAAGCCTCAGTTTCTTCATTTGTAAGATGCAGTTTGGAGCCGGGCTTTGGTGGCGCACGCCTTTAATCCCAGCACTCGGGAGGCAGAGGCAGGCGGATCTCTGTGAGTTCGAGGCCAGCCTGGTCTACAAAGCGAGTTCCAGGACAGCCTCCAAAGCCACAGAGAAACCCTGTCTCGAAAAACCAAAAAAAAAAAAAAAAAAAAAAAAAAAAAAAAGATGCAGTTTGGGCCTAGCACAGAGCCACCACACAGGTGTATTCCCAGAACCCAGGAGGTTGAGCCAAGAGGATGGTGAATTCCAGACCGGCCTAGGCTACATGAAAGGTCCATATAGGAAGATAAGGGATCAAGGTCATCCTCAGCTACATAGGGAGTTTGTGAATAGCCTAGGCTACATGAGTTCTGATCTCAAAACACCAGTGATAATAATACCAATGTTAAGTAGTTGTTGTTAATTTTAATGCTGGCAGCGCTGGGTGGTCACAGAAATTTGTACCATGTGATCTTTGCCTGGTTGATAAATACAAAAAAACAGTGTATAAGGCTGGGGATATGTTCTGCGGAACAGTGTTTGCTGTGCAAGCGTGAGCACCTGGGTTTGGATCCCCAGCACCTATGTGGCAAACAGACCTCAGCACTGATGCTGAGAAAGGAGGGTCCTGTAGACTCTCTGACCAGCCATGCTTGCCAATCGGTGAGGTCCTGTCAGTAGGAGACCCTCCCTGTCTTGCCAGGCACAGTAGCACACCTTTAATCCAAGCACTTGGGAGGCAGAGGCAAGCTGACCTCTGAATTCAAGGCCAGCTTGGTTGACATAGTGAGTTCCAGGACAGCTAGGTCTACATAGTGAGATCCTGTTGACTGGGGTTGGGGAGGTGTCCTGTCTCAAAAAGTAAGGGGGATGAATCCAATGAGATGGCCCAGTGGATAAAACACCTGCCATACAAGCCTGCTCACCTGGGTTCCATCCCTGGAACCCACATAAAGGTGGAAAGAGATGACCAACTCCACCAAGTTGTGCTCTGACATCGCCTATGTACCCCACCCATATGTCACACTCAGTACTAATCTAATTTTAAAAAGCGAAGTGGAAGATGTCTGATGTCTGATTTCAGTCTCTGGCCTCTCCACACACTTGTACCTGTATGCATACAGTGGATAGACACACACACACACACACACACACACACACACACACACACACACACACACACAGTGAGAGAGAGAGAGAGGGGCTGTGACTTTCACTGTGTATCCAGGGCTGTCCTGGAACTCACTATGTAGACCAGGCTAGCCTCAAACTCACAGAGATCTGCCTGCCTGTTTTCTGGGTGCGGGGATTCAAAGTATGTGCCACCACTCCTGGCATAGAGTGGAGAAAATCTTCGTTTCCCTTCTGATGACACTGGCTACCAACATTGTGTTGTCTGCCTTCCTTCCTTCCTTCCTTCCTTCCCTCCTTCCTTCCTTCCTTCCTTCCTTCCTTCCTTCCTGTCATTGTTGTCTTTCCCAGACAAGGTCTCATGTAGCCCAGACTAGCCTTGAGCTCCATACCTAACTGGAGATGACCTTGAACTTGGGATCTGGCGCCTGCATCTTGCTTGTACTGTAGGTGGCTTGGAAGCCTTTTCTCTGTTCCTTGCATGGGGTAACCACAGCAAATGCCCTCTACCCTGTGCTTCTGATCCTGTTACACCTTTGAAAGCTGTGCTTAATGCCACAGTATCCGCTTTGCTAGTGACCTGCTATCCCGATCCCTCCCAGGTGCTCGCAGTAGGCTGCATGCGGTTCTGCAGTAAACCCTAGTGAGTGAAGCTGTGTGCACATGTCTCCCTGGGTAGCTGCTCAGGGACTGCAGGGTGGAACCTGATGTTTTCATGCCAGCAGGTTTCCAGAACAGGATTTAATCTTCAGAGCGCTTTACGAGAGGGCGTTGACCACTTCTCTCCACTTCCACGCTGACATTAAGAACAAGGGAAGCCCTCTGCTAGCGTGGGAGGGGAACCTGGGTGTTTGGCGTGTCTCTTGATTTGTGTATTGATTTTTAAATTTTTGGTTTTTTTTTAAGATTTATTTATTACATATACAGTGTTCTGCCTACATGCCGGTAGAGGGCACCAGATTGAATTGTAGATGGTTGTGAGCCACCATGTGGTCGCTGGTTATTGAACTCAGGACCTCTGGAAGAGCAGTCAGTGCTCTTAACCTCTGAGCCGTCTCTCTCTAGCCTCTAAAATTTTGTTTTTATTTGCTTTTGAGGCACAGTCTTGCGTAGCCCAGGTTGGCCTTGAACTTGCTAAGTAGTCACGTAGCTGACCTCACTTCCACTATGCTAGGATTACACGCATATGACACTGTGCCCAGTTTCGAATTTGCTTTTGACCTAATAAAAAACATACCATGTGCTCATTCTCCCTTTTGTTTAGTTTTCTGCATTTTCACTCCAATTTCTCCCCTCCCCCGCCCCTCTCAGCACTGGGGATGGAACCCACCTGGGGTGATGAAGAGGTCTCAAGTCTGCGCTCCACTACTGAGCTGTGTTCCCAGCCCCACCACAATGGGTTTAGTGTGCTTTTGTTTTGGGAGTCAATGTGCGGCTTTGTGTGCATGTTGGTGTGGAACTTGCTATGTGGACCAAACTGGCCTTGAACTCAACAGAGATCAGACAGCCTCTGTCTTCTAAGGATTAAGATTAAACACACATAGGATTGAAGCTTTAGCTCTGGGGGAGAGTGCTTGCCTAGTAAGCCCAAGGTCCGGGGTTGGTCCTTAGGTACCAGGATTGGGGGTGGATGGGATGGATAACAAAAAGGACCCCCTCCCCCCAAAGAAAAACCAATCCAAGGTAATGGGCACACACAACCTTTCTGGGTAGTGGCAGTGCATGCCCTTAGTCCCAGCCCTCAGGAGGCAGAGGCAGTTAAATCATTGTGAGTTCAAGGACAGCCTGTTCTACAGAGCGAGTTTCAAGACAGTCAAGAAGGCCCTGTCTCAGGGGTGTAGGGGTGGAGAGGTGTCTTGATCTGGCCTCAACTAGACGATGGGCCAGACTTAGTAGACTTCCTAGGGGAGGCCTCACCCCCTCCGTGGAGCAGATGGGAGGAGGGGGGAAGCGGGAGGAGAGGAGAGAGGGGGAACTGGAATTGGAACGTAAAACACAAATTAATAAAAAAGAAAGAAAGAATCCCTGTCTCAAAAAAAAAAAAAAAACAAAACAACATCAAAAAGATTAAAGGACAGCCGGGCGATGGCATACATTTTTAATCCCAGCACCATCATGACCCAGCTTCCTTTAAATTTTTTAAACAAAATTTTCAGCAGTTTTGAAAACGTATACGTGTGTTTTGCCTACATGGGTTAGTGCACCCCATGTGCACAGTCACAAGAGGGTCCTGGGTCTCCTGGAACCTGAGTCACAGACGGTGACGGGCTGCCATGTGTGTGCCAGGCACTGAGCCCAGTGAGCTCTCTCCAGCTCAGTGGGCAGTTCTTCCAGTGCTTTGGTTGTGACAGCGAGGCCCGAGGAAGCCCAGGGCCTCCTAACGGTGCCCTTCCCCCCTGAACCAGACTCTGCAGTGCACCATCATAGGCCTGACTTTCTGGGACCCCAGCTGCCAGGCTGAAGACAGCGATGATCACCTTGTCTTGCGTAGCGGCTACTCCAGCTGTGGCATGAAAGTGACAGCACCTGTGATCAGCAACGAGGTACGGCTGGGGCTGGGAGGCCTTGGGGCCAGCAGTGTTGGTGCCTTCTCAGGCTCCTGACTGGTTCTGGGGCTGAGGAATGTTTGGAGGAGCAGGAGCCGAAGCATGGGCCTTGCTTAGCTCGGCCTTCCGACTCCCAACACGGGTCTGGGAGGCAGGACACCCTCGGGCGGGAGGCAGGACACCCTCGGGCGGGAGGCAGGACACCCTCTGGCTCTGACCAGCTTCTTGCTTGTCTTTTCAGGTGATCATCAGTTTCCTGTCAGGCTTACCACCGCTCCGGGTGAGATGAACAGTCCTAACCATGCTCTCCAACTGGTCCCGGGTGTACTTTTAGGGCTGGGGCCCTGTCTGGTTTCGAGTGTGCCTCAGTCTCCCTTCTGTGCCAGGGCTGTAGTGCTGCTGAGGGCTATACTGTTGGCTTGTTGAATCCAGGAGTCTAGCATGCAGTGGCTGGGTGGCCTTGGGCCACCTTGGCCTTTAAGCCTCCTTGGGCTCAAAAGTCATTAACTGTCAACTGTGGCATGAGAAAAGACCTCAGTCCATAGGAGTCTTAGGAGCAGCCTCCGAGACGTGTGAATTTTTCCCCCATTAGCCCAGTGCCAAGTGAGTTCTTGATATATATGAGTTTATTTAAAAGGTGAGGATGGGGTCCAGACGATTCCTCCTGCCAAACTGTCCCTCGTGCCCTCCTGTAGAAAAAGGTGCAGTGCATCGACATGGAGAGCGTCTCCTTGCAGCTGGGACTCTACCTCAGCCCACACTTCCTCCAGGCATCCAGCACCATCGAGCTGGGCCAGCAAGGCTTTGTGCAGGTATGGGGCACCCCGCTTGAATCTGTGGGCCTTTCTTCCCAACACTGTTAGAGGAAAGATGAAATCTCACCTTCCGGAGGAGGTGAGGGCCAGCCTGGGTGTGTGGAAAGGACCGGTAGAAAAGGAATTGCAAATAGGAATATCACACATGTCCGGCGTTGGTGGCACACGCCTTTAATCCCAGCACTCGGGAGGCAGAGGCAGGCAGATCTCTGTGAGTTCGAGGCCAGTCTGGTCTACAGAGCGAGTTCCAGGACAGCCTCCAAAGCAATGTCACATGTCCTTCCTGTTTGCTCTGTGGAGCCCCTGCTTGTCTTCAGTTCAGAGGGTGGGGACTCCCCTTCCAGCTTATTTCAAGTCAGAGAAAGGTCAAGCACACCCCCTTGCCTCTCTGTGCAGGTGAGCGTGCCCCCATCAACCTCTGAGGTCACAGTCCAGCTGGAGAGCTGCCATCTGGATCTGGGGCCTGAAGGGGACACGGTGGAACTCGTCCAGAGCCGAGCAGCCAAGGGCAGCTGTGTGAGCTTGCTGGCCCCAAGCCCTGAAGGTGACCCTCGCTTCAGCTTCCTCCTCCGTGTCTACATGGTGCCCACCCCCACAGCTGGCACCCTCAGCTGCAAAGTAGCTCTGCAGCCCAGCACCTCGTCCCAGGTGAGTGGGCATGGCCCACGTCTAGTTTCAAGGTGACTTACGGGCCTGGGGTTTGCAGATAAACAGGTGACAGTGGATGAGATCTATACAGCTGGTGGCCAGCAGGGCGAGAGCCAGGCGTGGGGCTTGACAGCCTGGCTGCAGGGAGCGGCCGCTGCTACCGACAGCCTTACTGACTCTGTGGCATTAGAACATATATGCAGCTGCAGACACTCAACCGTTTCTTCTCTGCACATTTAACCATCCTCAGTCATTCATCTACCCGCCCACCGGGAGCATGACAATTCACCCATATACCCGCCCACGCACCCACCCATCCATCCACCAATCTATCTATTTATGTACTCTACCTAACCACCCATCCGACTACCCACCCACGCCCCGACCTCCCTCCCCCCCTCCATCAGTCACCCACCTACCCTTCTATTGCCCACCTACACTCATCATTCTCAGTACTTCCCACCTGGTCACTCACTTCCAACGCCCCCAACCCCCATGCAGCGATCACCAGTGTGAGCTATCTCAATGAGCCAGGCGGCTCGGGGAAGAACAAACAGGAAAGCCCGCCTTTCTGCTTTGCTGGCCCTCAGGCCCGGCACACTCACAAGAGCACTCCAGCTGTCTGCACACAGGTTTCCAGGACTCAAACCCTGAAGCTGGGACCACCCAGAAGGCCATACCTTTCAGGCCTTGAGCCTCCAGCCTGTGAAATGGGCATCGGGGATGGCCTGGCTTGTGGCTCACGGCTCGCACAGGGTAACGGATGTGGAGCTCCCTCTAAACACGGGCACAGAGCCTGGCAGAATGCTGGACCACTCGCAGCAGCCGCAGACTACCCCGCTGCTCTCCCACAGCGCATGCCTCCTAGGACTTGCCCACAGGCTCCCAGTGGTGGACGTAGGACTCAGCCAAGGCTTGGGATGGTGGCAAAGTCAGAACTGCAGAGCCAGGGAGAACCACATGCTGCCAGCTGAAGGCTGGGCCACTTAGCTGTCACTCTTCCCTCCTCAGGAAGTCTACAAGACCGTCTCCATGCGTCTGAACATCGTCAGTCCTGACCTGTCTGGTGAGTAGGGAATGGCGGACAGTGGAGGGGTCCTGGCAGAAAATGGGCAGGGCAGCCCTTGGAGGAGAAGAGAGTTTCTCAGGTCCAGCAGCCAGAGGAGCTCCCAGGAAGATCATCTTAACAGAGGAGAGTGTTGAGTGCCATGGGGCAGCTCTCCCGACCTCAGCTCCCTCTCACCCCCCAAGCCTCATCTCTGTCCCCTTAGTCGCTGGTACACCTTGTTGGAGGACTTGACTTCCTGGATAGAACATGAGGCGCCTTCGGTGTGGTATAGGCCTTACATTCCTTCACACCCCAAGGGTGGAGAAGCCCCCTCAGCCTGGTCTCTTTGTTTCCCGGGGCCCAGAGACCACCAGGCAAGGGAGTTCCTGTTGCTAGGGGCATATACATGCCATGTAGGCTAGGATGGCTTGGGTTTACTCCCAGCCAGGATCAAGAATGCGGGGCTCTTAAGCCCCTGCATAGACAGGAAGCCAGAGAGCAAGGGCCGCGTAGGCGCAGGGTGTGAAAGGAGTGGGGCCTGCAGTAACCCGGGCAACCCGAGTCTTAAAAGATGCTCTGGACCACATGCTAGAGGAAGACAGGAGTTCAGAGAACGCAGGGGTTACGGCTGAACTGAAAACTGGCATAGTCCCTGACTCAGGCCAGCATGACAGGGTAGGGACAGACCAGAAGCGAGAGCACACCTGCAACGCTGACTTCCGTTGGCTCTTCCTTGGTCGCACAGGCAAAGGCCTCGTCCTGCCCTACGTGCTGGGCATCACCTTTGGAGCCTTCCTCATCGGGGCCCTGCTCACGGCTGCACTCTGGTACATCTATTCTCACACACGTGAGTATCCCAACCCCCAGCCCTACCCCTACAGTGAGCACTCAGGGCCCCTCCACCCCGCCCTGGGCCATGTTCAGTAAAGCCTCTGGGGGTGGGGGTGGGTAGCTCTGGCTGGGACCCTGACCTCCACCCCTGCCCACGCCCCCCAGGTGCCCCCAGCAAGCGGGAGCCCGTGGTGGCGGTGGCTGCCTCAGCCTCCTCTGAGAGCAGCAGTACCAACCACAGCATCGGGAGCACCCAGAGCACCCCCTGCTCCACCAGCAGCATGGCGTAGTGCCCAGCCGGGAGCCGCAGGGCCCCCCAGCCAGCCCTTGCCCCGCAGCAGAGACCAAGCAGCCACAAGCTGGGAACCACTGGCCACGAACTTGTCCCAGGAGCCAAACATCTCCACTCAGTCATGGATGGAGCATGCCCCCCGCACCTGTCCCTCATACCTCCCTCGCAGAGGCTTGTTGCCCGAGGACACTCCAGCCTGGAACAGCTCGGGGTCTTCTCACCCCACTTCACAGAACTGTCCAACCCAGGGGCTCTGAGATAGGACTGCCCAGGACTACAGAGAGACACAGCACTGCCCTTACATCAGCTTTGCTGTAGAAGCTTAGGGAGCCGCCTGAAGGCTGGGCCCTGTGCTGGCGAACGGGCTGTGTGGGAGCTGAGAACTCCGGACGCGCCTGCCCAGCCCAGCCCAGCCAGAGCCACCTGCGGCTGGCTCTGGTGGCTTCCTCACCTGTACTGGCACAATTTTGGTGGGGGAAACAAAGCTGACGGGCGCTCAGCTCAGGAAGGCGGCCTCAGAGGGTGGCGTGAACAGTGGGGTGGGGGAGCCCAGCCCCTCCCAGAAATGCCACAGAGACCTCCTCCCAGCCCATCCACTGGACGGGCAGGAGGAGAACGGCCAGGCTGCTGGTCCTGGGCCAAACCCTGTATACTCACCAATAAATCAGACATGAATCCAGTGTCCCCTTGGGTTGTACTGGGTAAAGGGGGAGGGACATTATGACACAGAACATGGCTGCACACCCCTTGGGCTGGCCTGGTAGCAGATGGCTGGAGCAGAGGTTCAGAGGAAACCAGTCCCCTCTGCTGCTCACTCACTTGGTGGCCCAACCCTGGGGCAGAGGCTACAGAAACCAAACACTAAGCCCTGTCTACAGACCCTGCGGTTTGTGACACAGCCACCCCATAACTCCGGGTTCTAATCCATGTCTCTTCTCTGCAATGGGCCTTTGGGTAGCTCCATGGCTCCTGGAAGCCAGCCACCTCCCTCATCTGTAAGATGGGGACACAGCCTGAACACTTGGTGGGTGAGAAGGTTGGCAAAGCAGTGTCTTGGCATGTGGCAGACAAACATGACACAAGCCACCTAGCGTTCTGAGGAGACAGAAGATGCTCCTAGGCTATACAGCTAGGGCGCTCTTTACCTATCTGCTCCCATACTCCTACAGCTCCAACCTCAAACCCCCAAATTCTGATGAGGGAGCTAGGAGCTAAAGGTTAGGAATCAATCAAAAATTTGTCATTTATTTACAAAAAAATAAAAATAAAAATGGTTTAAAAGCTTCAATTAATTCTAGCAACCCACAGTCCACAAATGCCCAGGCAAGGGCCCTCTCTCTTTCTAGAAGGCACCAGGAGGGAGGAGAAAATCTCTGGCCCCGCCTCATGCAGGTCCATGGGCTGCTCAGGCAGCTTGCACATAAGACGAGTCTGAGCCAGGAAGCAGCAGGGTGGTCGGGGGATGGGTTGGGCTGAACACCTACAATGGTAGGGACTCTGGGAAGACCCCAGAGTCATCTATGCCAGAGGAAGGAGAGGCCAAGGTGTAGGGCCTCTCGCATCCCTACAGTCTACCAAGAGTCCAGAACCCTGGGCCAGTCTCAAAAAGAATCTGGAAGTATAAATCAAAAGGCACTGAATATGAAAGTCTGTGGAGAGGCAGGAAGGTGTGAGAAGATCCCATGTCTGATCCCACGTCTTGGTCACTGGGACAGGGAGGGCTCCAGCAGCTTCAGGACTCCACCCACCAGGTGCAGGCTTCCTGTAACCAGCACATGGATGGCAGCAGCCTCCCGGAGAACGCTTGCCCCGCTGCTGGCTGTGGGGTGGCTGAGGAGGCTCTTTGGCGGGCTCGGGAGCTGAAAGACGGGATCCCGGCCTTGGCTGATCCACTGCAAGGCGTGGGAGATGCAGCTAAAGACAAGGGAGTCCGCGCTGGTAGAGTGAGGCGGACGCAGTGCCAGCATCAGGGAGCCCGGCCTGCCCGGCTCGGGGCTGGAGCCGCTCAGGAGGTCAGGGCTGGCTGGCTTCTCGCTCAGGCAGCTCCAGTGTTGCTGGTGTTGGAGGCAGCGGAGCAGCACCTGGTCCAGAGTCACTGTGAAGTTCTGCTGGTCTGTGGGGTCCAGACAAGGCTCGTCAGAAGGGGAGGGGCTGGCCCACCGTGAGCACTGCTTAGCACCTGGCCCTCTATAAGCCCTTCACCAGATTCCACTGGCTGCTCGCACAGCAGTGACCAGCGCCGCTTGCTCCATGCCATGAGAAGCAGAGCCTGGCAGTCCACTTCCACAATCCCCATGCTCATCTGTACGGTGTGCAGCTGGGGTCCCTCACCAGGTGGGCACCAAAATACAGATCCCAGAGCTCTCCGAACACAGTCCAAAGTGAGACCCGGACTTCTCTATCTGCTTGCTTCCCGTTCCTTCCGAGTTTTTTTTAAACACAATGCAAAAAGCATTTTAGGAGCCAGTGAGATGTCTTAGTGCACGGCCCATGACCCACATGGTGGGAGGAGACAACGACTCTCCCAAGCTGTCCTCTGACTGACACTCATGTGCCCCAACACCAACTGAATAAATCAGTGAAAGTAAAAATAAATTTTAGGGCCAAGCCGGGGTAGCACACGCCTTTAATCCCAGCAATTGGGAGACAGAGGCAGGTGGATCTCTGTGAGTTCGAGGCCAGCCTGGTCTACAGAGACAGGACAGCCAGGGCTGTATCACAGAGGAAACCTGTCCCATCCTATCCCATCATCCCCCCCATCCTCACCTCCAGTCCCTGTCCCTGGTTCCTCACCTCCCCCAATGTCCCCCCCAGGGAGTGATTTTAGGTTTCTGTAAGTGCTGACTGCTGACCACTCCCATGGGAGTGGTAAATAGAGCTGGGGGAGGGGACTCTCTCTTTGGGTTTCGGTTTTGACCTGGAGAGCAGCGTGTGGACCAGCTTTATTGGTTTTTTACGTAAGTGATTTCTCTTTCAATAAATATCATAAGACATCCCTAAATTTGTATAGTTTAATATTTCTGCTTCCCCCCCCCAAAAAAAGCAACAACAAAAAAAACTTTTAGTGCATTTTACATTGCAACCAGGTACTTGCATTCTTCCAAACATGGCCAGGACTCTTCACCAGGCAGCAGTAGCAACTGCCCGTCGTTCATGCAAGGCACACGGGTGTTTTCCATAACCCTTGTATTCAGTAAATTCTAGCTGAGACCCACTAAGCCGATTTCAGCAGCCATCGAAAACTGTTATACCTGGTGTTTCGGCTACATGTCACAAAATTTAAAATGTACTAAATGGTGTTTCTATAATAAAATCTATACCCTGGAGAGATGGCCCAGTTGTTAAAAAATTCTTGCTGCTCGCTCTTGGGGAAAACTCGGGTTCAGTTCCCAATACCCACACGGAGGCTCACAGGCATCTGTAATCCTGGTTCCAGGGCATCTAATGACCTCTTATGGCTTCCACAAGAGCCAGGTATTCAGACACACACTTGCCGGCACTCTGACATATGCATACAATAAAAATAAATCTTTAAAAAAATGCTATCTTCTAGCATGGTTTGGAAGGCCCATTCCTCACTGAGTAGTCTACCTTGGACCCTGGACATCAGCCACGCCATGCCATCTATTCCCCCTCACCTGCGTTTTCTGTGGATGATACCTCCGTCAGGTTGGGGCAAAAGACGGCGTAGTCAAACTGGCAGGGCTAGGAGGCCAAGGGGAGATGTGGTATCAGTCTTCTGAAAGAATAGCCCTCCTCACCCCACCTGACTTCCAAGTATTGTTCCAGGCCCACGGCTCTGGAGACACTGGCCACCCCTGGACTAGTGATACTGCAGTAGCCAGCCACAGGCCTTCAGTCACCCCACCCCCACCGGCCTCAGTGTCTTCCTCCTGGCTTACAGCCTGCACTGCCTATTGTACTAAGCACTTGCATGCGTACTGCACTGAATGGAGATGTGCGTGGTGGGTGATACCTACTTAAGATAGTCTAGTAAGAGAGCAGGCCCCAAACCCAGGCCGGGGTAGTTTCTGGATATGAACCACTTCAGCCTCCTGCTCTGAAATGGGAAATGATTCTAGGAGCCTAGAACACACTCAAGTCTCCCCAAACACGGTCTACAGAGGACAGCCAGAGTCACCCAGAGAAACCCTGTCTTGAAAAAAACAAAACAAACAAACAAAAAAGATGCTGCGGGGAACGGCTCCAATTTTACAGTTGAGGACGCTCAAGCCTGTGGCTCCCACACAGCCAGAACCATTGCTGTTGGATGTCCGCCCACCCTCCAGGCATGTCCCTTACCTGCAGCAACTTCAGCAAGGCGGCAGAGTCCCTGTCACCCGTGGAGTTGAAGAGCAAGACGTGTACTTCAGGCCCACTACACAGAGAAGGAAAGGGCGGGGTGTGCCTTCTGCCCTCCTCCCTAGCCCATCCATTTCCCCAGATCCTACTCCTCCTCAAACTGGTCCAACCCCAACACCTTGCATTAGGTCCCCTGGAACTGGGACTGCAGATGGCTGTGAGTCACCATGGCGATACTGGGACTGGACCTGGGTCCTCTGCAGGAGCAGCAAGGGTCCTTAACAACTGGACCCTCTCCAGCCCCATGGTATAGATTTCATTACAGAAACATCACTTAGTACATTTTAAAACTTGTTCCAGGTAGCCATGACACTGGAAAAGAATTACTAGTATGACATTTTTTAAAAAGGCAGGTTACACCCCACTGATGGCTATTCAAATCAGCCCCAGTGGGGTCATCACCCAGGACCCCCACGCCTGCATGCCCAGCCCTGCAGGAGAGCTCACCCGCTGGGGCGTTTGCTGCGTTGCAACGACTGGCAATACCAGCGCACGCAGGCCTGCACACTGCTGGTGGTGTGCGCGCCATCCAGGTACCAGGTGAGAGGTCCCCGCTGCAATACCTGCGTCCGGCCAGGCCACTCCGTGTCCCGAAGCCCTGGAAGAGGCAAGCGAGTCAGTGCCCTGGGAGCTACAAGGCCTGCAGTCTTCTGACCTGCAGGTGGACCCACCCAAAAGCCTATTGTCAATGCCAGTCCCTGGGTTCCCAGAATGGGCTGCCTCACTGTGGAATCTTCCAGGCAACCCTGAGCATGGGCTGCTATCACACCATCATACATGATTCCCATGTCTATCACACCATCATACATGATTCCCATTATCACACCATCATACATGATTCCCATGTCTATCACTCAATCATACATGATTCCCATGTCTATCACACCATCATACATGATTCCCATGTGACAGCCACAGAGTTTTGAGCTCACACAGCAAGTGAGGGCTGGGGTTAGAGTGTGGCCTGAGATCTGCTCCAGGGCTGTCCCTGACGGTGACCCTGGCACACTGCAACTACTCTAAAGGGGTCTAACGGTGAGCACCTACTGTAGCCTGAGGGCAGTTTTAAAGGGATGGAAGAGGAGGCGGCCTCACAGCCTGATGACAGACAGCAGATACTGCTGACTGACACTTTGCTCCTGGTCCTCCAGGTTCTGGGCTTAGCATCTGAGTGAGGCCACATCACGAACCATCGAAACAGCCCGTGGCGGTGGGTGCTACCATTATCTCCTTTGGCAGATGGGGAAACTGAGGCTTCAAATATTTGTGAACTCTAGGCCAGAGAGGAATGCTCACCTTGAGGAACAATCTAG